ACTGTGGCTTGCTGAGTTCATGTAAAATATACAATGGCAGCTATATAGGTTGTTATATATAGATATATGTGCATTCAACTGTAAAACGTGCTATATTGAGTATTTTCATGATGTGAGTTAAAACCCTCTATAGATATCCTCTGAGGTTGCTACCATAGTACTTTGGCCTAATTTAGTCAATGCAGAGTTCAGGCAGAGTTCAGACACTTTTGGTGTCTTTGGGCGCGCACAAAGCCCTCTTTTGTTTTCTAGTATCAGTACTTTCAGCTGCTATAGTAACTGTACTAATGAGGTTTAGTCTTAAGGAAACATTTGTTGCTGGAATTGCTCTGGAAGAGCACTAAAGAGTTAAAGACTGAATCAGAAGGTTTCACTGTTAATCTAATCTTGAGCACGGCTGCATTGTTGCAGGAAGAATAAAGTGCTGGTGCCGTGTAGTAAACTATGTCTGGATGTACTCACGAAATAAAGTCAAGTGAGAAAAGTTTCTCTTGGGCAGTGGGCCTGTGCCTTGCATCCCACTAAGTAGGGCTGTGCAAATAATTGATTTTCAATATGTTGATCAAACTGAAGAATAAAGGATGTTTTGATTTGAGTTCAATAAAATATTTCTTTTAGGCATTACTTTGCAATCACCAAGGAAGAAGAGATGCAGCAGCTCTGCCTTTAACCTAGGAAAATTCAGCCAAAATATGGGAGTTCAAGGTGCCCAAGTCCAAGGTTTGCCCCCTCCCAGTTGTCCATCTCTGCCCTGCTGCTGGTTCTGCACTCCTGTTGCCTGGGACCGCTTGTGATCACCCTCAAGCCTTTCCAGGGCTTGCAGGAGCAATCGCTTTCACCATTATAGCTGTAGCCAGAAGTGCATTTTCCAGATCTGATATGAAATACAGCCAAGTTTCTCAGCTAGAGCCAGGACAGTTGTTCTCTGGAATGCTTTGAAATTAGTAGGAAGATCACCAAAACCTTCATTCAGAAAATACTGAAATATTAATCTCCGTGGAACATAAGCACATAAGTAATTTTAGAGCATATTTCCATTTTTTTTTATTTCAATAATAAAAGAAGCAGAGTTTGTTTTCTTGAATAGAAGTGCTTTCCTGAATCAGAGGAGATTGTCTGAGAGATTATGGACTATATTTTTATCATGATTTCTGAGAAAAAACAGAGGAAAGAGAGCCATGAATGAGAAGTTTTTCAGGACCAAAGTTTCCAGTTTCTAAGTACCTGTTTTTCCAGGGGTCTAAAAACTGTTGAAACTAGCTTTTTTGTTGGAGCCAACCCATGGACCTCAGTAAAGAAAGCTCAGTTGTGTGCAAGGGAAAACAATGTGCAAAGGTTAATGATTCTCAGCTTCTGAAAAACTGTACTGAGACAAATGCTTTGTGAGCACCAAAATCTGTAGAACCAACAGCCATGTCCTTGTTTAGGTCTCTTAGAAAATCTGAACAATAAATTCCCAGCACATACACTGTATTTCCTAATTTCCTTATAATACAGCGACAACTGATGTTCCCGAGTTAGAAATAACCATGCCTGGAGGAGGAGACAAACAATGTATGAAGTGCATCCAGTTTGGCTTATGGCTGCATGCTCTTGGAAACTTTCCTAGACTCTTGTCCAACAGTTTAAACTTAATTTAGACCTGAGAAATGCAAAGTGCTCTTCTTATTTATCACAGTAAGAGCACAGTGGCTGGAGACAGTGCTGTGCAAGCAAATGCCAGCAGAAAGAGGCATCATCTTAAGTATGTTGCAAAGTAATTTGGCTGATGCCAAGACAAAGGCAAAAGACGATGATTAGGACACTAGCATGAGAACTCCTCTTGAGTTTGTTGTGTGTTTAGGGTTTTCTTAGCTTATTTTTTAAAAAAAAAAGATGAGATGAAGAGTGATGAACTGAGATCCTTGTCGGCTTTTCTTTACTGAGTGGAAATGTCTGGCTTTCTGTCCAGTGATGTTTTTCCCTCCTCCTTGAGTCAATCTGTGGAAAACAGCGCTGAAGAAAAGGAGGCATGGAGAAAACACAACGCTTGAAATGCTGTTCATGCCACATACCTGCTCTTTTGCTGCAGACAAGGCAGCAACCTTGTTGTTCATTAGTCTCTCTGGACTGCCGTGAATGCTGCTTAAGCAAAGAGATCTTTATATTCTCAGAAGGTCGCTCCCTGATTCAGGTCTCCATCTTTATTTTACTGAATGAAAAGCATGCATGCAGCACGTGCTGGTGCTCTCTGGGATCTAGCTGACCATCTCCTCACCTCCAGGATCCTGTGCCTGGCCTCCAACCACCAAGTCTTTCTTTTACTCAGGCATGGCTGATACTAGTTGTCATCTGAAACCAGCTTCGCTATCGGAGAAGCGGTCCCTATAGACGGTACCTCAGCATGTCTGGAACATGTTGGAGCCTGAGGTGAAATTACATTGGCTTAGTGTAACATGCGGCTGCCAAAACAATCAGCAAGGAAGATGCTGCTCACAGCAAGGCTGAAGGAGGAGCTACTGGTACCTCCGGAACCTGTCCCAGCCCAATGGCTGAGCCCCTTTAATGCCTCCGCAACCTACCTGCAGGGGGAATGTCTTCCTAACTCCCCAACCAAGTATTTCACTGTGCCCTTAAAATCAGAGAGTTTCTATCCCTTAGTGTTTTCTTACCTTTGCTAAGGTAACTGTGGTCTTCACATTAGCCTTACCAATAGCCACCCTTTAGATGTGAAATAATTTCGTGTTTGGTCTCTTGGTTGAAGAATTGGACAAGAATGTAACAGCTGCCAGACCCCGAGATGTATAAAGGATGGTGTAGAGATTCTATGCCTGTTTATTAATTAATAAATGGTGATTCTGTTAATGACTGCAGTCTAATTAAAATGACACAGTAAGATACGAGATCTAGATTTTCATAAATATTTTATTCCTTTGGTAGTAGCTCCAGTAAGTGTCACTGGATTTGAAATACTCAGATCTTGAAGTCCTGTGTGTTTTCTCCTGAAAATGGAAATTTATTGCACTGTATGCTTTTGTTTTCAATGACAATTAGACACTGAAGTGCTGTTGAAAATCTCCTTGAGTGTATCTTGGCTTCGAAGGATCTTTAAATACCTGAGCTCCTTTTCCTGCAAGCTACAAGGCCCTTCACACTTACAGAGGACCAGAGAGTCTTTGCAGTGAAGCACTGTGGGTGGAGGTTTGTACCAAGGCAAATGGACCAGACAAGCCAGCTGCACTTCCAGACAATGATAAATGTGAAAGCTTTGAGTAACAAAAAGAAAATAGAGGTCACAGTCCTGAGTCATAGCATGTGAAAAGGTAAGCTGCCTCTTACGTAGGAGGATCAGCGCAGACTTGGTAGCATTATATGGTCCAAGTGGAGTATTACACTAAGAAAAATGTTATGGCTTTGCGTTGAGAGAGAGATGGAGGCTCAGTCTTCATTCATGTATGTGAAAAACTACAGAGTTCACTTATGGGAGGCATCTGTTAGTTGGAGAAGATCATAAAAACATCTTGGCCTTCCCAGAAGGGGTCCAGGAGATGATGCTCTCTCTTCCCTCCCTTGCAAATTCCAGATCTCCTCCTTGACAGTAGAAGGATTATTTTCCAGATACAGATATTTGATTTGCTGAGTTGAAAAGCAAATTTTGGGGAAATCTAGAGGCTGCAATTAAATTCTCTAGGGCATCTGATGAAAGTGAATGGGGCAAAATTCACTTGAGACGTGAATCTCTTGTTACATAGTGGCCAGGGTTTCCAGCCCTGCTATGAACTTACAGGGAGAAGTTTTCCCTAAAGCCACAAGCATAATGATTCTTTAAGTGTTGCATAATAGTATATCACCAGTGAAGCATGAAAGTCATGTAGATATTGATAAATTTTACAAGATCAGCAATGTTTTGCATTACAGTGAAATGAAGAGTCACATTGAAGCTGTGGAGGCTTGTTACACATGCCAAGTACATTCAACAAGTCAGACAGAGATCTGGAGACCAAGAAAATGATTCCCCTTGGACCATGGTTTTATCTTGGAAGAAACCATATGTTTATCTTGGACTATTCTCACTTCCCCAAGATAAACTTACTGGAAGTTACAACCACAAAACAGGGATTCCTGCCTGTCAAATAACATTCTTTAGACCCGATACATGAAATAGTATGACCTGTCTATTAAATGTAGTTTGGTGGGTGCAGGTTCAAAGTCTGTACTGAAGTACAGGTGTAAATCTGCTAGGGCTAATCCCCGTTCTCCCAAATCTAGCTGGAAAATGTTCACAGATGTTATCTTTTAGAAAGACAGGAAAGTCAGGTATGGAGCCATATGTTTAAGTTCAAGAAGGAGAGCTGTACAATCAAGGGGTTCTTGCAAGAGCCAGCTGGGGTCATTTGTGCCATGCAGTGAGTGATTCATGCTGCAGATCGCTGCTCTGTTACGAAGCAGAGCTGCCTTGCTCAGCGGCGTTCACTTCCTGGGTGCTGTGCTTCCTGACCAGTCCAGGAGCAGCTGGACTCTGGAGCTTTCAGCTCTGACATGCTGCTGGAGTGCAGAATCGTACATCAGCTGAGCAGTTGTGGAATTTGTAGAGACTGGCAAGCGTTAATGATTAAAACAAAGTTTATATACAAGACTATATTACAGTATGAAGCAAAGTAAGAGTAAATATGAAGGTTCCAGGTTCCAGCTTCATATTTCATATGTGGTTAGCTTTTACTTCTTTGCATAGTTTTAGGGAAATAAAATAGCCTAAGTGTGCAACGTAGGATTGGTACTGTGATTTTCCCAGTGATTTACCATGTAGGCTGCCTTTACTTTGCAGTTTGCTCTCTTTGGCAAGAAGGTGAGGACAGGAAGGTTGCATGAAGCCAATAAGCAGTGTACAGATTTTACTCTGAAATGCTCCAGCACTGAATGTGTTAAATGTTTTCGTCAAAGAGGTTTTAAAAAAAAAAAAAAAGGCGTATGGAGTATTTGCCAGAAAAAGTTTAGTCTATAAAAGAGAGTGAAAAGCCTTTCACATGTAAGGCAGCGGGAAAGAGGGAGTACGGAGTTTCCTTTTCATCAGCTTTTAATCTTAAAAGGAGTGTAATTTTCACTTAGTCACAGGGGGCAGAGTCCACTCCAGTGAGACCTCCCTCCCAAAACTGCCAGGATCCTCTACTTCCACGCTGAGGAAAGCAGGCGCTTTCGGGAAAGGAATAAAATCCTCCCTGCTGCCTCAGGCGGCATAGGAATAGACATGTCTACGGGGAGGATCTGTTGCCTGGTGCTGCTGACCCTAGGGGTGCTGGCTGTGGTGGTTGCGCTCGTGGTCATCCTCACTCAACCCAAGTGTGGTCCTGGGCAATACCTGCACGGTGCCGTGGCTGCTGACACCGAGATCTGCTCTGACATCGGCCGGTATGTGCACAGACCTCTCAGGTGGTTGGTTTACGTGTCGCATATGTCATGGACTTGGACTGGCAGACAGGTAGAAGCACTGGAAATGGCGGAAGCGCGCTGGGTTTCTGTTCGGTCCCCTGCTCCTGAGGCTGAAGAGCCGCACTGCTCCTTGGCTGCTGTCTGTCTGCAGAGAGCAAAGCAGCTCAGAGAGCAAACAGAGCCCTGCCTCGTCCGCGGCTGATGCTTAGTTTCTTTCTGCCACGTCTCATAAATTTGCAGCTCTGCAAATCTGTGTATTTTGGGAAGGTACAAATATTTATAGTGTATAAAGGTTGTTTTGGGGGGAGGGAAGCAAGAAATTAACTGCTTACTTCACAGTGGCAACTCTGTCGGCTAAGTGCTTTAGAAATCAATTAAGGCAAAAATGAGAGGAGCTAGCAGAGAGCTGCAGCTGGGCTTGAGCACGTGCAAGGCAGGCAGGCGGGCTGAGAGGGTAAGGGGGACTGTGCAGCTCAGCATTTAGGGTGAAGACCTTTATGGTGTGCATTTCTGGACCGAAGCCTGCAGCAAGTGTGTCTGCTACCCGGAAAATCTATATTGGAAAGCAAAGGTGGCAGCACATTTAATTGCAATTTAGACAGAACAGTGTGAATACAAAAGACACGTTTACGTCACTTGGAAGGAAAGTGTCTGTATAACACTTTTCACTCATGCATTTCAACTCTTACGTTATTGGTTTACTATTACTGTCACTTCTATTCTTAAACACTTGTATAAATGAAAGTAGAAGGATGGAACTTAAACCTTCACAAGCTACATGTAACACACACACATGATGGAGCTGTGGGCTCTGCTTTGCATCTGGAGTGAGATTACTCTGCTGGGACTGCTGCACCACACTTACTGTGCCGCGTGACATGCCGACACCGCACGTGTGAGTAGCCAGAGAAGATGCACTGTGGCTGCACGTAAATTAAGGAATGAGATGGGCTTTTTAATGCTAAGCCACGAGTTAGATCTTCAGATGGTAGAAGTATCACATAAGTCCATAGTAGTGGAAGTGGGGAAAAATATATCATTAGATTACCCAAAGAATTGGCTGGAGAAACCACAGCACTGGCTCTCCCCACCAAGACTGTTCTCCTCCTTCACCTCAGCTCTACACCACTCGGCTTCTGCCTGCTGGTTAGCTCTACCGCTGCATGCTGTCTGCTTCTTTTTTCCCATTGTTGTCCCCTTCGCCTCCTGCCCTTGGAAACTTTGGTGCTCTTTTCACACTGTCTTTATACTTGGAAGGAAATAAGTTCCTGCACTCTTCTCCCAGCTTGAGCTTCTGCTCTGTTCTTGCACTGGATCATAATAAAAATAAAATTGATTATAAAAAGGTACATCTGCAGCAGAGCTCATGACCAGAAGCTTTGTGTATTGTGTTCACCCCTTTCCTTGTCACTGACCTATTTCTTTGTTTGTCCCCACTGGCCCACAGAGGTTGTTGATAAGGAAGGGACATTTAGTGAAGCTCTGTACACATTAAACGCTTTAAAAAAATAATTCGGTGACTATTTATAGAGGACTTTAAATTGCAAAGTCAAATACTCAAAAATTAAGAAACCTAGTCGAAACTTAGTTGCGCGGACCTAATTTGGTTCCTCCTGCACTGTAATTCTGACCCTTAACAAGCCTCCCTGCGCTTCCCCAGGATCCCAGCCTCATCCTGCATAGGATGAATGCGGCTCCTTCAATGCCCAGTGTTTCATTTCATCCCCTTCATTCATGTACTTCTTACTGCATGCCCTCTACTACATACGGTCTTGTTCATTTTCTCCTGGGTATTTCTGTGCTGTTATTATCTGTATGTCACATCTCCGCTCTTAGCTATTAGCACATGTTAGTCATCACTAAATCCTCATTGCAGTGAGGGAAGTGATAAAAGGATGTTATCTCACCTGTATAAGTAAGGAAGTCTAGCATGGGCATTAAACCTGAATTTTTTAATCTTGCGTAGATGCCATGTAAGTTGCTTTCAGTTTGCTTTGAGCAGGTTTCTGCCTTTTTGAGTAGTCTGCACTGCTCAGTGTACATCTGTCGCCCACCTCCCCTGTGGCTGTGCAGGGCCAGGGCTTCTGCGGGCCTGACCCACAGGTCTTGGTGGGAGCACCAGGAGGTGAGGAGCACAGCAGCCTTCTGCCTAAGCTTTACTGAACAGGATTTTAGCGGCGCATAGGAATTTTGTCACAGCAGAAGGGATAAAATCCAGTTTCTCAGAGTAATCTTAGCCATTAGGCCCTGCTGTCCCTACCTGTTTACTCCCACTTAATTTGCCTCTTAACTTCAGCAGCAAGCAAAGTAAGGGTTGGATAGAGCCAAGCATCCCTTGGTGCACAACCCTTATTTCTTCGCAGATGCTGCTCGGCTAGTAAATTAAGTGTTTGAGAGGATACAACGACGTTGTTGACTTCTGCTATTCAAAAGTGATTAAACTCCCAAAATCATGAGACTTAAGAGGGAGGAAATGAGAAGAAAAAATTAATTGTGAGTTTTTCTTTTTTTTTTTTTACTAAGTACTATTTTTAGATCTTCAGTCTTTTTCTGCTACCCAGACTTGGAGCAACGTAGAGTTGGGGAATTAGAAGAGCTATCACGAATTGTGAGATTCCTAGGGAGTTGTGCTAAGCTCCCAGGTCCCTCCTGGGCTCTTTGCTGCCCGTGCTGCTGCTCTCCCTTCTGCCCAAGCGCTGCCTCACCCCCAGCTCTGCTGCTCCTCCTTCCTGCATGCACCTGTCTCCCTGTGCCAGTGTTTGAGCCTGTGCAGTCACTGCTCCTGGTCTTTTCATCCTACCAACTTCTGCAAATCCTGCCTTGCACCTGCTCCCAAATTGCTCAGCCCTATAGGCTTCCTTCTCCCCAACCCTATCTCTGCAGCTCAGCCACCTCACTCCTCTCCCTTCTCCTCTGTAGGAGGCAGGACACGAACCCCTCTCCTTGCTAGGGGTCCATCCTGGGGAGCACTGAGTACCAAAGATAACAATTTCCCTGCTTTTTCTGGGACCCAAAGCCACAGCTGTTCCCAGATGCAGTTTTTTTTCTGGGAAGCCGTGCTCAGCATCTGCAGCTCAGGGATGGAACAGGCTCATTTCCACTGTCGTTGCTGAGAAATCCCAGGAGAATTAATCTAGCTGAAGGTGGGTAATTCCTTAATGACCACACAAACGTACATATATGTGCATATGTACATAAATGTAAATTATGTTTGCAGATTTTTTTTCCCAACTTGGACAAATTTGAGTGAGTTGCTTGAACAAGAGAGAGACTGCACATTTGGCTTTATATGCGCGTGCTGCAGAGCCTCCTAACAAATTGGGTCGAGGTGTGCAGTTTAAAAATAAGTAAAATAAATAAGCAAAAACAACATATTTCCTCAATTTCATTTCTGATAATTGATTTATCTTTTTAGTGGATATATATAGGAAGGGGGAGAGAGATCTCCACACCAGCATGAGAAAAAGTTAGGCTCAATAGATCAAGTATAGCAAAGTTATAACTGAGTAAAGACCATGTGTTGTAGTTGAACCTGTATGCCCCCACTGCTGATAGCAAGAGTAATAGCAGCCAGTCCCTAAAGGCCCCAGGGCCGAGAGATTCAACAGTGCCAGTTCGTCCCTGTTGTCCCCCACTGACCTAGCAGAACCTCTCTGCTGGGCCCCAGCCTGGCCCCCCTGGCCACCGCTTTGTCCCACAGAACGCCCCGGCTCCCAGGAGCACGCGCGGGAGATGCCCGGGGGCAGGGAGCCTCTGGTGCAGAATGGGACTGAAACTGGTCGCGTGTCTAAAATCTCAAAAGCTACTCATAAAATTTTGTAAATTTTGTTCTTTAATCAAAAAAAATCTTTTTTTTCTTTAAAAAAAAAAAAGAGAGGCCCAAACCCAAACCACATGCTCTGCTCTCTGGGTTACAGTGAACTGTCAGTATCAGTAATGAAATTCCTGTGGCATTACACGATGGTGTGTGTTGTTAAGACACTCTGTTGTTTAAGACAGAGTCCTTGTGAGCTTCTAATAGAGCTTGTAGTGGAGTTTATTAAGAATAACTGTACTGGACCTCTTGCCTTAAGAGCAATCCTGTCTTTTCGCCTGGGATGGTGGGGTAGGAAAAACACTTCAAGGCTCTGGAGTTTCCATCACCGATCACTCAGCCATGGGGGAAAGGTTGCTGAAGGAAATGTGTAGCTTTGTAATTCATTAGTACAAGCTGGAGAGGGGGGACAGACTCGGAGCTCCAGGGGCCTATTTGCTGCTCCTCTCTCTTGTGCTCAGCAGTTGTCTTCAGGCTCGGTTTTTCCATCTCTAGGGATGGTGTTTCTACATCCTGGGGATGCATAAGGTTGGACTTTCTGAAATCTTTATGCAACTCCTTGGATCCTTTGCAGAAAGCAAGCAATTTTGACAAGCCTCCACTGCGTCATGATCCTTGTTGGCCAGCCCTGTGCTAGGCTTACTCTAAGCTATCAGGGCCTGATTCCCAGTGCTGAATGAAGTCAGGTCTTTTGCTACACTTTTACTGCTGGCAACTGGGGACTGAAAGGAATAACGGAGTGTCCATCCTCTCTGGTCCAGCCATGGGCCCTGCTGAAAACTTGGCCTTGAATGAACTGAAACTCTTGGAGGAGGAGGAAGGGTGGGAGGCTGAAAAGAGAGGCAGAGCAGTTTTACACCCCAAAATGTGGATTTGGTAGCCAAAGTCCGCTTTAGTAATTTGTCCTCATGTTACAGAACCATGAGGAGACCAGAGGTGACTGCTTTGGTACCCAAACCTACCATCACCTCCAGCTCTGAACCCACTTGTGCCACATGATCGCCTGCTCCTCCATGCTTGCCATTCCTAATCCCTTTTGAACACTGGAAGAGGCTTTTTTCAGCAACTATGCAAAAAACTTTATACTTCCTACCAACGTGCTGTTTGAGCTCTGCCCTCCACTGCTCTGTGTCCATTTGTTGCCAAAGGGCAGAAGCAAGAGCCA